ACACAGAAATACAAGTAAAGCCAAGCCAAATGAATCAGCTTTTTCCAAAACCGCAACTCCAAAGTCTCTCCACAAGACTATTAATATTTTACATGTTGTCAAACAAAACAAAACAAACTTTCAGCAATGGCATCAGAGAGGTTTGGTATTAGGAAACACTTGTTTTCATTGGGGTTGAAGTCTGATCTGACATCCTTTATTTTCATGTTGTCTACTCTTCCTCATCAGCTCAGAAAGCTCACTTAAACACATACATTGTCACTACCTAATATAAATATAGCATAAACCACCGAATAGAAAATATCAGATAAACCCAAATTAGGTTTCCAACAAATGCCAAGAATGTTCAACTGTAGCTATTTCAAATGAACTGCTTGGAAATTATTTGTATTGTTTTAACATGTATTAAGGAACAGAAGAGAGGGTCCATATAAACTTTTTAGTGGTTTCTACAATAAACAAGTGTAACTTGTATTTATTGGCTGCTGCAACTATAATGGGCTCCCCAGTTAATCTATTTTGGTAATTCTTAATAAATCACAAGCTTTCATAAGCAGCAAGAAGAGGAATATGGTAGTTTCATAAGCATGGATAGCTACCACAAGCCAAAAATTGATGCACAATTAAAAGAATCAGGAATATTTAGTTGTGGAATAGCATGGGTAAGGCAGTGCATCCGTGTATATTCACAAGTGATTTTTTTTCTTGGTACTGGGAATCAAACTCAGGAACTTGTGCTTGCCAGGCAGGTGCTGGCCCACAGGGGAACTTTTAAAACTCATGTTTTACCCACGTTTATCACTCTTCTCCATATTGTTGTAGTGTTGCACTATGCAATATAGTAGCCACCAGACATTTTAATGTGTGTAGTCCAAATTGAGGTGTACTGTAAGCATAAAAACCATAACAGGTTTTGAAGGTTTTGCATAAAAAAGGGTAAATACCCACTAATAAATTTTTATATGGAGCCAAGCATGGTAGTTTATCAAGTATCTGGCCAGGTGAAAGGATGAAATAAGAAACAAATTTAGTAATGCATGACAGGGACGTCAATGCCTCAGGATGGGTAGATAAAGACACTCAGCCACTATTTATTGGGTATAGCCAATGATTAGAGGGATTACAGGATGATTCAGAGGGCACTAATAAGATCTGTATGTTGATGAGGACAGAGATGACTGGTTATGGAGTCTGACCTTTACCCAAGGTGAAATTTTTTATTGCTATTGGGTTCTCAAGGGGCCAGGATGTCTTCAGCTGCTGCAATCTTATCCTGGATCATCATAGCATCACAGGACCATTAAGGCCTCAACTGTGATAGGAGGTACACAGAATTGTTCCCACCTACTATAGCCAGACCATATGGCAAGACACTAGGCCTCAGACAAGGCCTAATCACAATTTAAATTACGAAATTATTTTTCTTCAACAATTACATAGAATAATCAACAGTGGCACATGTCTAAAATACCAGCACTTGGGAGACTGAGGAAACAGGATCTTGAATTCAAGGTCAGCTTCTATAGTGAGATCCTGTATCAATAAAATATTCCAATTGCATGTTCAAATAATATTTACTTTATTGGGTTAAATACATTAAAATTTCTTTACACATTACCTTGTGTGACATGGTTTCTATTTAACATTATGTATGCGACTTGCATTATATTTCTACTAGACAGTATTAATACATATATGCTGCATAGAATACCATTTTTTGTGTGTTTATGTGCACTGGGGATTGGACCCCGGGGATTGCATAAATGAGACAAGCACTCTACCACTGAGCCACATTCTCAGCCCTTTTTAGAGAAGATATCACTAAGCTGCCTAGGCTCACATTGAACTTGGATCCTCTTGTCTCAGCCTACCAAGCAGCTAGGATTACAGAAATGCTTCACTGAATGCAACCAATTGTGACTTTGTTTTTAAGTAGATCATATACAGTAACCCAAACTGTCCAGTGAGAAACTCAGTAATATTTCAGAGGCTTCAGGACCCCAGTCTGTCAAACACAAAGGGAAGACAAAGCTCAGGACAGAAGGCCTATGATTTTTAAAGAGCATGATACATATTTACCCATTAGCTAACTTTAAATTCAGGAGCTCTCATTCGTCCCATTATCTCTCATTTCTTTAAATATCCTACTAGCTCTAGCAGCTACAAACATGTGAACAGAGATAATTATAGTATGTATCTCTTAAAGTTTTGATAGTGATTTATTATTGAGGCCAGGTATGGTGGTACACACCTATACCAGCTCTTTACAGGCTGAGGCAGGAGGATCCCAGTGAGTTTGAGGCCAATCTGGATTACATAATGAGTTCAAGGCCAGCCTGAACTACATAGCGAGATCCTGTCCAAATAAATTTTTTTTAAAAAAAATTTACACATCTCTGGTGAAATGTCCACTTCTTGTGGGTGGCAACTATATCTTTATCCTTGTGCTTCAAATGTTGGGTAAAGCTTGATTATCTTACCTCTGTAGCCATTTACTGATTGTAAACTCCCCTGCATCAATTATTGGAAATGTCTTGTTTATAACTGCCTTTGGGATGTAGAGTACATTCCTGAATATTGGGTGACAATTTCCATCCACTAAGAAAAAAGAAATACTTGGAGTCACCTAAGAGTCATCTCAGTGGTAGCAAATGAAGTGATCAAACTCAACAGTTGCTTCTTTCATGGCTCATAAAAGTCTCCAGAAATGATTTAAACAAATTCAAAGTACCTTCTGAGAAATAACTGCAACATTCTTGGAATGCCTACCGGTGCTGAAGACATCTAACTTTAAAGGGTATTTTCCTGGATACCAGTAAGCTGTGCTGGTGTACTATTTGTTTCACATTTTAAGTCATGTCATACTTGCAGCTAAAAGCACATATACTAAGAGGCGGAAACGACCATTAAGCATTGATTCCTCAAATTTTATTAGTCTTAGAATTCTAGAAATTACATACCTTGATACCTTTTGCTCTAGGAATGATTCCAAAATATACAACCTGCGAAAATGAAGATTCACATTACTTACAAAGCTATTTAGAAATGCTCAAAGTGACCTGCCAAATTTAAAATATATTTATTTATTCCTTAGTAAAAATTACTTGCCCTTTTGGCTTTCCTTAGCCAAACAACTGAAACTGTTTATTCCAAGAAATCATACATTATAAGTAAAGTATCTTAGGGCTTGAGAGAAATATTAAAAAATAAAGAGGTCATATAGAAGGAAGATTAAAAGCACAAGGAAGTTGGGCATGATGCACACACCTGCCTATGCTCCGGAAAGCTGAAGTAGGAAGATAAGAAATTCAACTAGCCTAGGCAACTTTGCGAGACCATCTCAAAGTAAAAAGGGGGAAGACATATGTCTGTGCAAAGGTCCTGTGTTTAAGTCCCAATACCAAAGAAAAATACCACCGTAACTCGGGAATCAAAGATGTTGAGTGGGAAATACTCTGCGACATATTATGTAGTCCTCAGCAAAGCACTAAATGTATCTTAAGTGTTATTACCTATAATATGGGAAATCCTTCTACTTCACTTTAAGAAATTTTAAAGTACTTAATATAAAGCCTGACAGCAATTGGGAAAATTTAGCCATTTGTAATACAGCCATTAGTAATTTATCTGTAAGGTCTTACATTTAAACGTGGCCTACACTCAATGGCCTTAAAGAAATTGAGCCTTAGTTTTCATAGTTTTTAAGTTATATATTATGAAGCTAGGGATGCTCTTCAGTGACAGAGCATATGCTTAACATTCAAGAGGCCCTAGTTTTAGACTGAATTACCCAAAACAGGACCATCAAGAGGGTAGTTTATAATCTACTCAGATGTATCAAATTCTTTTTAGATACCTTGAGTCTTTGTAACCAACTATCCTTCTAAAAAATACAGTACATTGTTTAGAACAAAGTTTTCGGAGGTATTGAATTTCAAAAAATAGAACATGACACTAAAATTACATGAAATCTAGGTCATGAGATCAAGAGCTGACCCCATCGAAACTGAGTGCTCAAAGGTAAAGAAAGGTGTTTCACCACAAGCTAAATGAATACTAAATGAACATCTTATTCAGGCATCACAATGTCATCTGCTTAGAAACAAGGACATCTTAGTGATTTAGGTTACATGTTTGAGGATGGAAACAGGGATGAAGACAGAAGATGCACAAGTACACAAGCATATCTAGACAAGTTTTGTATGTACAAGGGGTGATCAAAAATGAGTTTTTTTGGGTTTTAGTAAACTTATCCCCTCAAAACAATCTTCACTTGGAACACTTATTCCACTTTTTGTCACTTTCTGAAGCAGTTCTCAAAGTCCTTTCATGTCTTTTATGAGGTGTGATAAAATATACAGTGAATACTGCTGCTGAGTGTCATCCAACAAAAAGTCAAGTTCATAAAAAATCCTTATTGTATTATCTATATCCACTTTAATCATAGATTACGGCACTTTTTTTATTTCTGGCTTTTATTCAAAGTAAAAATGAACATGAAAAGTATAAACATTTTGAATTGAGTCAGGACATCAAGGTAGCCACAGCATGGCAAGTAAAAACTCACAAGAATTCTTCCAGAACTGTTTTTAGAAAGTGCCAAGAACAGTGAGTGCTTGATGTGAGGGGGAATACTTTGACAGGGAGTAATGGCAACTTGTTACTGCAAATTTAATTAAATCCTGTTTTTTAATCATACCTCATACAGAGGTCAAACAAGGAATTGTCAGGGCAATGATGAGGATACAAAAGCAAAGACACATCTAAACTGTCAATTTACATAAATCTTTCTAGGATTCTTCTACTTGAATGTATTATTTACCAAAGATTAAGGCACTCAAAACACAAATGAAATGAAAATTGTATCACATAAACCAAGTATCTACCGACACACATAGCAAAAATTAGATATTCTGTATCAAATCTGAAATTGAAGAAACAGAACCTGTATCAGTTCCCTTTTTAAAAGAAAACCCCAAGGAGAGATGATCAAGCACAAATGATCACTTCATGCATTTTATTGATAGTCTATACTTTAAATTTATAGTATGACATCTTACATAGGGAAAAAGCTTCTTCCTAAAAGATAACTATTAACCAAACCAGCTTTAATGACTGACCTTTCAAGGTCTTGTTTTGCATTAAACAAGTTAATTTTTTTGCAGGTGTAAAGTACTGTACAAAAAATAAGAGAAACCTGGGTACATTCTCAAATTTTAATACAGGGCTTCCCAACCAGGAGTCTGCTAGACAGATACTGGGAAAGGGTGTTATGTTCAGGTTTAAATTGAAAGAAAATGATACATCAGATAAATCAAGCCAACCAAATACTTTACTTTGTGCTGTTTTGTCTCTCCCAAAGGTCAGGAAGCCCTGGTATAACAATCACTTCAATCTTTACAGAACATAGGTTTATGTGCTTCATTTTCAAAGACATAAAGGCAGGCTTTGTTACTGTTGCCCCTCCAAATCCTTTCAGGTTCTTAAATTTCAGAAAGCTTTCAGTTTGCTGCCCAGTTCTTTATATGCATCTAAGTCAACATCTGTACCAAAGCAGCTCTTCCCGGGAGAAAACAGGCAGATACATAGCCAGGCCAACTGCATACCTACTGAATGTTATGTGGTCACATGGTTCTACATCTTTAAAAGCAGCACCAGGAACAAATTAAGTTACCAGGAGGTAAAACCCAAACAATGGACAGTTAAAACACATATCAATCAGCTAAAAGAATGTTGGTAACAGGTTGGACAGCTGGTTTAGACATACTTATGTATTGGAATAAATCAGCAAGATGAAGAACTGATGGAGGAATCCTGAAACGAGGCACAGTGGTATAATGGGTTCACTTTCACTGCATGTCTTTTAAGATAGTCAATGCAAGTGACTATAAAGCAGTTCATGGAACTTTAGTAAACAATTCCTAATAAAAAGTAAGTTCTTGCTTTGAATTTTGGATAGTATGCCTATTTCTTATAGATTTGAATCAAAACACCTATATAGATGTAAAAACTATCATAAAACTGATAAACCTGTTCTTTTGAGAGTTCCAAACACCCTGATATACCTCTATTCTATGCTGTAGACGTTTAAGTTACAAACTAGGGTTACTTAAATAAGAACACTCACCAGTTCAGAGTACTAGACATTTTAGAAACGTTTCAGTTAAAGATTAGAGTTCTTAATTTCAGAATGCTACAAAATTTCAAAGGGCAGGTACTGTATTCAGTTATTTTGATTTTTAAAACTCACTTAAAAATAAGTCATGAATCAGTTTTTAGACTTTGCACTTTAACTTTTCAAATGAAGCTTATTCACAACTCTAATATTTCAAAAAGCAATTTTCTAAAGAATTACAAGTTACTTAATATTAAATGTATTGAAATATAATAAAGAACCACCCATTTTAGCAGGTACCTTATCACTTTTTATTATTAAAGTATAGAACACCTCAAAACAGCAATGAAGTCTTATAATACTAGTAAAGAACTAAAGTGCCCTGCAAACATGGCATTATGTACTTAATATGGATAAAATATTTGACAGGAAACCAGGTAAAATAAAATTTAAAAAAAAATAAGGCAGATTACCAAGTATTTCTTTCACAAAGAACAAAGGAGAATAAAAAGGAGTGGATAAAAATACCTTCATCTTTAAAAAAAATGTCAAAAACCACAAGGTGCCACATATGAATGCAAGCTATAAAAAAATGGGCTTTTAAGAACTTTTAAACATGTGCCTATTCCTTGGGTATTTGGGGGAACTGACTGAAAGTCATGGCCCATGCATGACCTACTCATGTTCTGGACACTTGGGAAACAAGTGGTTAAATATAAAGCACATTAAGCAATAACTTTTTCGTAAATGAGACATTGATTCAATAACTGGCACAGAAAGGATGCTCTCCTAGGAGGAAAGGGAGACATTACTTGAAGTAACACAGCAAACCAGTTTCCTAATCTTAAATTTGTGTGAATTCCAGTAATCAACTTCTTTTGTGAATCTCCTGTTGCTGTTTCCTTATGACCTATGCAATTATCACCTACATTCCAACACTAATGTGAAGTTTACACAATTCCTATCTCCATTAATACAAATGAGGTATAACTAATGTGTTCTTTTTAGAGCAAATATTCCAAATTAACATGTTCTTTTCTAGTGTTGCTACAGTCTGTGGTTTCAACCTAACTTGTTTTTGTCTTCTAGTAGTAATCGCAACCTCTTCCACTGCAGTTAAAAAATAACACTGCAAACATTTCATACTAGTAAGTGCATTTTTATACTCTTGAAATATTCAAGGAAATGCAGGTTGCAGTACTTTCCCCCAGGCTTTGAAGAATGTAATCTCTCAATTATTTTGTTCCTATTACTGCATGAAGTTCAAAGTAGGTCTTAAAGAAAAAATGCAGACACAAAATGAAAAGTAGTCTCTTGCAAGTCAAAGAAATGCTCTCCCAAGAAAAGGTGGTTGGATGCTGGTGGGAAAAAACAATGTGCTCTCTATTGCACATCTGACACCTATAAACCACTTTGTCTTCAATGTCCACAACAGTAGCATGTTCCATAGACTTTGCAACATGAAAAGTATCAATAAAAATACTTGCATTCACTCTACAGCCAATGGGTGAATTCTACTGAAAAAGTGTCCACATGTACAGGTCCAATATGTGCATTCTAAAACTAAAAACATGAAAGTTCTACTTCCAGTGTTTATGAATAGTTCAACACCTACATTCATAACCAGCATTCTGCTTGAATTACCTTTTACTTTTAATACTTCACAAGTAAGTAATACATCTTGGGAGGCTATGGAATTACCTGTTGTCAGTAACGTTTATTGATATTTAGGATGTGCTATCACAGGTTTTAAACAATCAAAATGAATGCCCCCTATAGCAAGGGTACATTTTATTCCAAGAGGAAAAATGGATTTTTCAGGTATTCAAGACTGCCTTGTAGATCTGAAAACCATAGATTACACCCTTAGGAAAGGAGACACAGAGGCTCACAAATATAAAGGAATCCTGATTCTTACATTAACAATTTTTTTTAAAATAAGAGGTATTATTACTTAAGCGCCACAAACAGTGAAATCTGCTTACATTAAAAAAAATAAGTGAAGCTTTGTTTGGATATTATTTCCTTGCAAGAGCAGTACATATCCTTAACTACCATAATTACAATTTCCTTAATACTTAGGATCAAAAGCCAAAAGAAAACATGATAGAATGAGCTTTGAAATAAATTTCACAGCTAAGGTAATAATAATGAAAGTAACCAGGTAAACTGGAAAGCAGACTTGTTTACTGTGTAGAATATTTAACTATATTTGGATAATTAGCTCATTTTATGATTGTTGTTAAAGGCCAAGGATGTGTTCAATTCCTCTTCTGGCCTATTAGCTTTCTCCTGGGAAACAAATATCTGCTCTAGAGCTAGTCTAATCCTGACTCAATTTGTCTCAAAAGAGAAATCGGTCAAGTTTCTGGGATTATCACAAATCTATTCTTACTACTAAAGAACATGAAGAGCATGTCCATCCATAATGAATCAGCAGTCTCATGTTCAAATATGGGCAGCACAATTAAAACCTGAATTTCAAATAATCCAACATAATTCACTTTCAAATGATAAAAACCCTTAATTCTTAAATAGGTCTTTAAATGTGACATGTTACTTTGTACTAGTGACTTTAATGAAACATTAATGAGTTTGCACTAGAGCCTTGTATGACAAATCTCAAAAACAAGCACATTTGAGAATTTCCTATTAGCAAACATCTGTACCAACTGCAATTCTTCCACTAAAAGTGGTCTATAGTCTCTTTCCTACATGTTTTTTTTTAATTTGAGAACTTGTAAAAACATTAATTCATGTAGGTGGCAATGGTTTATTTTCTTTAAATCAAAGACCGCTCTGCCAAATTTGCTCATTTGCTTCCTCTATTCAAGTAGAATATGAGGTCAAGCTGCTGCTGCTTTCACCATGTGAATGTCTTCATTACTACTGTCTTCACAAAAAATTCTTCAGAGTACTTTTGTCCTCACATCTTTCACTACCTGCCTAAATCCAAGTTAAAACACAATTTCCACTGGTCTTTCAGTTTGATTATGCGTGGTCCTTTTCATGTCACAGATGCTGTTCACATACATTAAATATTATAGATATGTTCTGCTCTTGACATCTACACATTTCATACTTTGCTTGTTGTGTTTTTTACTATGCTGGTTCACAAAAAGCAGTTTTCTCATTTCTAAGCATGGTACTTTACAATTTTTAATGCATTAATACAACAGTGCATTGGAAAAGTACTGAGCCTCTACAAAATAGCTTTACATCTTTAAACAAATGAATGTGATTTTTTTCACTTACACAAGCATAGGCTTTTTAATATTTCCACAAGATAAATATCTCAAACTATAAGCTCACTCTATAGTGTGCCACAGTAATGGGCTTAGCAGACAGTTATACACTTAGAAGATTCTATCTTTAGTGTTATTTACACTGACATGTCCAGTATCATCTAGTCTGAAGGTGAACAAACATTCAGAATGTGGCTGAATTTGGGTTAACTAATAACTGGGAATTGTATGGATTCAGTCTCAACTGGGAGTTTCTTTAACCCTTCTGTCCTATGGCATGAAAAACTTTAAAGATCAACATAAAACAGACAGGAGCCATTGCTAAGGCAGATCTTTTAAGATAACAAAAGAGGCATTGAGAAATGTACATCATCAATTATCGGTAACAGAGACACTACCACTTTAACTGGTATTGAAATCAGAGTTTTAGATCCTAAAATGTTTTTTAAATATTTCCTTTTATTCTCAGACTGGAAAAAGGACATGATTCTTTCAGAAAAAGATGACTCAATTCAGGTTGTTACTTTACATTTAAGCACCACTCAAAAAGTGGACATAAAGCAAGTGATTCTTGTTTGCCCATCACTACACCAGCTACATAGTTGAGAGTTCAGATGTTAATTACACAACACTTTCTCTGTTACCAGAAGCTAAGACTGCTCTGCGACAAATAGGACAGGTAGAATTCTCAGATAACCAGCGATCGATGCAGTGGACATGGTACTCATGGGAACAAGGTAGTTTACGAAGTTTGTTGCCTTCTGTATATTCTGTAATACAAACACTACAGGTTTTTAATGCATCATTTTCACCAAAACTTCTCATTGCCAAGTTGTCAATCTGTTCTTTGGTGAGTCCTCTGGGTTGATCATCATCATCCTCATTTAAGAGGAAAAACTGAGCCAGACTAAGGAATGGTAAAGACCCACTTTCATCAAATGTGACTGGGGCCCTATGTCGACCCTCTCGCCTGGCACCTGATGATGAGCTTCCTTCATTACTGCCTTCAAACAACTCTGAATTAGTTTCTGAACTTTCACCACTGGAGCTAGAACTAGGACTAGAACTCGAACTGGAACTCAAACTGGAACCAGAACTACTACCACCACCAGAACTCCCCCTTCCATTCCGTGACTCTACCCTTTCCATATTTCCACTTGATACTGAGCCACTAGGTTCTGAATCACTATCACTATACATAAAGTAACTTAACTCACCAAAACCTGTCATTATCTGCCTTAACATGGTCTGAATTGCAACAGATGTAGTCTCACTTAAACCAGTATTTAAAATTCTACGAATAGGAATCCTGATGGTACTGACATAGGTTCTCACACCTGCCCGCTCAGAACGTGAAAACGTACGCCTAAAACCTCCTCGTTCACTTTCGTAAGTAACAGTGTTATTTGGCGTCTGAGATCTCGACCGAGTTCTACTAGCTATGCTGTCTCTCTGGCGATATTCTCCAGGACGAACTCTTCTGACTTGAAGATCGAGGACTATGGTTGGAGGTCTCTGTACTGATCCTGTAGATTCACCACTGCTGATTGTGTCCGAAGAACCTGCTCCTTGAGAGGCATTTCTTGTTCCAGATGCTGCAAAAAGACCTCTACTTAACAGCTCAGGCCCAGTTATTTGTTGTCTCAATGTCACATGGTGACGGGTTCTAGAACTTCCCTCGGTCTCATTTACTAAAGGGTTCTCAAAAGTTTGAGATGAGATACTATGATGAGATCTTCGTGGAATTTCACTCATTGGATGTAGAGGTGATCTACTTCTTTCTGCTCTGGCTCTGGTTCTCCGATGGTCTGGGCTCCTACTTCTTGCTCTCCTCTGACCTCTAGTAGCTGGGACTTCTGTTGTTAATGTCTCAGTTGAATTTCGTTCTGACCTAGATAGTCTTGCAGATGTCAATTCAGATCGTGGATTTTCCACTTGCCTTTGGCTGTTGTTTTCTGTAATTTCTCCACTAGAACGTCTTGAAGATGGCTCATTTTCATTCTCTGGGTTTTGACTCCCATTATTACGGTTAACGTTGATCTCTAAACTGAATCTGAAATCACCACTGTTTGGATTAGTCCGGCTCACGGCTCTCCAAGACTGGTTTCCTCTTTGTCCACTTCTTGTCGTATTTCCAGTTTGTCTGACAGAATTAAGCCAGTCTATTATAGAGTCACCATTAGACACATCATCTGCAGTGTCTCCACCTGATTAAAACAAAGGGAGAGAGGGAGAAAAAGGAACTACTAAAATTAGGATAATGATGTACTAGTACACTGAAACTCTGTACTAAATAACTTAAGAATTTTCTAAAAATTTCACATTTACAGATCTTTGCAACCTACACCACATAGATTTGTAAGGGGAAGAAAACTTGACTTGTATTTGAAAAGAGCAAGCCAATCCTAAAGAAATTTACAAATTATTTTTTAAAAGGGAATATGGAGAGGTCTGTTTTCAGTATTGTATGATATACAGTGCTTAGCACACCACGTGAGACCATTAGCACAATATACTTTTAGTGCATTGTCAAAACACTAATATAATTGACGTACATAAACACAACTTAAGGAATAGTACAACTACTTGTAAGAATTACATTTAGTCAAATTTTCACCACTCAGTAACAGTGATGGCAAACCTCATAGTGCTTTCAATGATACAGCCTGCTGTGGCACATATACCAAAGTTTTGCTATCACTGGCTTATATTATCTTTATTATTCTCTTGGATGAAGTGCCTTTAATATCACATGGATTTTTCCCCCTGTGCTGGGGTTTGAATACAAAGCCTCACACACGCAAGAAAAGCATTTTACCAGAGTTACATCCCTTACCCATATGAAGTTGTTTTAAAATACAAGATTACTGTAACCATAGCAAAAATATAGTTAAGATTTAAAACTGATGCTGGGGATGGTGGTTCACACCTGTAATCTAGGAGGCTGAGGTTTGAGGGTCTCAAATTTGAGCCTAACCTGGACAAAGCAGTGAGATCTTGTCTCAAAATAAAAATAAAAAAAGACTGGGGATGCTACTCAGTGTATTATCCCTGGCTTCAATTCTCAGTACCCCTATGAAAAAGATTTTAAACTCTCATGAAAATGAAGACCATATCAAATAAATAGCCTGAACCTAGCATAACAAAATGTTATGCTTAAAAACTAAATTACTGCCATAGTTCCTAGGTTATATAGTCAATTTCCCTATTTCATGCTGGGAAAGAAATACCAATCGTGACGTTACAACAGGATTTCTGGGGAGTACTACTGACTTTTAAGCCATTAACTCTAAGAGTATGCTGTGCACTATAGGATATCGGGATATTTGGTTATACAATGCCCTCAATACCACTAGGGGGCAAAATTACAGCCTGCTGAGTACCACTGGGACAGGTAACTCAGCATTTCTTTTGTCTAGTGAAGTCTATGTAAATTAGGGATTATGTAGGAAATTTCAATGGAGGGGAAAAAAATCAAGGAAAAAAATCACATTTAAATGGGCTATTTCTGTCTCCCAATTAATGCAAACAATCCAAAGGTGAGGCAGAAAAACTATGCTGACGTTTCTCATCAAGTATCAAGAAAATTTCACTTCTCTTTTATGAGAAATTATTTAGCACCAAATTAATTTTTGCCATTCTATATCGTCTGTGGCTGACATTTACTATTATGAAATTCTTATCATTCCATCCTCTACCCACCTCCCAAAGCAAAATATACCTCTGTTTTCATCTGAGTTTTGTGGTGGTGGACCCTCTTTAATTTGTTGCAGTCTTCTCAGCAACTCTTCCTCAGTACTTTCTCCTGTAAGTTTAAAATTATTTACCAAGTTACAAATAAAAACCAGTGACTTTTAACACAACAGTGTAAAGCACAAGTAGGGGAATGACAAAGACTTCATCAGTGACCCACAGTAATCTGACACATAATGATTATGAAAAAAATACTTCTGGTACTGAGAATGGAACGCAGGGATGCTCTACTTCAGATCTACACCCTGAGACTTTTTTTTTTTTGGTACCAGGGATCGAACTATGACCTCGAGCTTGTCAGGCGAGCACTTATGCCACTGAGCTAAATCCCCAGGCCCTTACACCCTCAGACTTTTTTAATTTTTATTTTGAGACAAGGTCTTGCCAAGTTGCACAGGCTGGCCTCAAAACATGCCATTCTCTTGGCTCAGCTTTCTGAGTGGTTGAGATTACAGGCAGGTACCCTCATTACTAGCTATAAAAGAAATATTATTTTAGCAGCCAGGTGTGGTGATGCATGCCTGTAATCCCAGCACTCAGAAAGCTGAAGCAGGAGAATTGCAAGTTTGAGCCCAGTCTGGGAAACAGCAAAAACCTATCTCCAACTTTAAAAGGTTAAAAGCAAAATTTGTTGAAGTATGAAAAGGAAGAAAAGCAGTGACTCTTAACTCTGAGAAACCCAGGAGTGAACAGTGATGGCAACAAAATTAACTTCTGTGGCAGCAAAATACTACAACTTATATTTATACAAGTATGTGTATTTCTGGAATTAGAGGTACATTTCAGTGACAGAGCATGTGTTCAGCATGCACAAGGCCCTGGGTTCAGTTCCTAGCTTCACACAGAAGTCTTTCCAGTTTCTAAAAGGTGTTCAGGTCTAACTTTTCAAAACTGCAATTCTTATGAGATAGGCATTGCTATTTGTATTTTAAAATGAAGAAACAGAGACAGACTGATTTGCCAGACACTATATCAAATATCAGGGCTAGAACTCCAACTAAGGCATTCTTATTCAAGTTTGGTACTATTGGCTCAAAACATGCTCCAATTCTTAAGTCATGGTAAAATCTTATCAACATTTTTGCAGTCACCCTTGACACAATGTTAAGTGAAACAAATCAGACATACAATTTACATATTGCATGGTTTCTCTTATATAAGAAAACCAATATAGAAATACATTAAAGAGCCAAATAAAAGATTATAGGAAACAGGGCCAAAGTTCTTTTGCAAATGAGAAAGGGGCCAGCAGATGGAAGGGAGGGAAAAGACATAGAAAGAATTAAGATGTGTTATGTACATGTGGTAAAGTTCTCATGATGAATGTAAGCATTATATATTACAAACATGTACTAGTAAAAACTTATGCAGTCACTTAAAGGTTAATATAAAACAAAAAGGAAAACAGATACTCAGTTTTAACTAGATTCAAATGAGACTTATTCAGGTAAAACAGAACAAGCACAAAGTTATAGCTGCTGGCTGTTAGAGGATAATAATTAGAAAATTTTCAGAGAATCACAGATGACAAAACAGAATTAAGTCTATCCTAAGGACTAAAGTTCTCATTAGTTATTCCACACTTGGATATATGTCTACCAAGTTAAATAAAACTAAGAATATGCATTGCTCTGCTCCTTTCTTTACAATCCTTTCACTAAAAATTTGTAATTCATAAAATGTCTGATATAGGGTAATTCCAAATATGAATAGAATCAAGTAATAAGTACACCAGCAAATGCCATTCTATATACCCCATGTATTAATCATATTATGACTAAAGAGAAATTTTTAAAATGGACTAAAGTATTTTTTGAAAAACTCGGCAATAAACATATAAAAATCCTTAAATTACACAAAGCATACCTGGGGTGCCTAGCAAATTGTTATCTCTCATAAGTCTATAATCTTCTTCACTCAAGTTATTTACAAATTGATAGAAAGCTTCTTCTCGATCCAATCGGTCCATCTGACTTCTGCGCTGTGCTGCAGACTGATCGCCACTTCCTTTATCATTAGAATCTGAGTTTTCCATCTTGATGAACAAGTGGAAAATTATCTAAAAGAAGAAAGACCATTCTTGAAAACAAGAAATCACCATACAATCCACAATCAGTTTTAATTATGCAAAAAATTCAGAATGCAGGTTAAGACACAGAGTTTAAGACTTCAAACACTGTAAATTAAATTATTATATACGAGAAAAACTCCAGGAAAGCACTGCTATAATAGGAGAACACTAGGTCAGAAGATGGCTAACTATAGCCCTTGGGCTAACTCCAGCCATTCTGCTTATTTTTACTCTCCTTGCAATCTTAAGAATCGTTCATACCATTTTGGGGGAGTAGTATCTTAACTATATTCTCAGTTCCTGAGTTGTACATTTTTAAAAGGTTACAAAACAGAGTATTTTGAAATGTGTGAAAATGAATGAAATCCAGTTTTCTGCGTTCATAGTCTTACTGAAGCATGGTCATACAAATGTGAGTGTTATCTATAGCTGTTTTTTGCTATAATGGCAGAGCTGAGCAGTTGTTACAGACTGTAAGTGGCGATCTTACTGTTTGCATTGCTGCTTGGTGCACTAAAAGTTACCATGATGCACCGATAACTTGACAGCACTTCAAGTGTCATGTGTATCAACATACTGTGACATTTAAAAAATTACCAGAACAAATGGATGCCAAATGAAGAAAAAAGTGGGCTTAGAATGTCACATATAAAGACACAGCAGAGGTTACATCATTTTAGTAACATTACATGGCAAAGATTGTACTTACTAAATAAAGACATTAAAATTATGGTAAAGTAATACTATATATTGACAGTATTAGACTGAAGACTTGTTACAATAGCCCAAAATTTAAGAAAATTTAAAATTAAATATCCTATCAAAAATAACTAAATATGAGGTTTTGTCTAAGGTATGTTTCCAAGTAGGTCATTTTTGGGTAAGCAAAGTCACCTATCAATAGTAAATAAATGAAACTATTTTTGAGTATAGAAATGTGTCCAATCAGACTCTGCAGCACATACTGGTAATCCTAACTACTTAGGAGGCTAAATGAGGCAAGAAGATATGAAGTTCTAGAGGCCAGTCTGGACAACTTAGTGAAAATCCTGTCTCAAAATAAAATTTTAAACAAACTGAGAATGTAGCTCAGTGGGAGAGTACTGAGTAAACATGGGGCCCCAGGTTCAATCCTCAGAACAACAAAATAAAGATAAATTTTATTTTTGCAATACTGCTGGGGATACAACCCAGGACCCTCACAGTAAGCTATATTCCTGGTCTTTTTAAATGTTTTTTGAGACAGGAGGATCTTGCTAAAATGTCAAGGCAGGACTCAAAACTTGGGATCCTCCTGCTTCAATCTCCCAGAAGTGCTGTTAAAAAAGGCAGTTACAAAAAAAACCAGGGTGAATCGTAGAAGAATCTAATGAAAGTCTGTAATTTCCTTCTCTGTAGGATGAATACACTTCATTAAAATCATAAACTTGTGGCCAGGCATGTGCCCCACCCCTGTAATCTTAATTCCATAGAAGGCTGAAGCAGTAAGATGGCACTTTCAAACCCAGCCTGGTTCAATGGTCAACACTGCCAAAAATAATAACGTATGATTGTGGTTTGCTTAAGACAGCAGCATCTGTACACATAAAGACATTTTCATAGTTGAGATATATAAAATTTCATTCCAGTCTGCAATAATAGATGAACATTTAGAAGGACTGGTAACAAACTCTAACTTTGAACACCGAATTAAGCAAAATGTTACCCTTCTAATACCATTCTCACATTACTAAACCTCTATTAGAAAATTCTGTACTCAAATTATTATTATGCATTCAATTTTATATAAAAGCCTTCATGGAAATTTGGTTTCTTTCTGTTCCCTGAAATTTACTGCTGAAATCATAATTTCCAAGGTGATGGTATTAGAAGGTAAAGTCTTTGGGATGAGGTCATGAGAATGCAGCCGTCAGAGAGCTGCCTTGCAATGAGCACCAAGAAATAAGCCCACACATGACAAGTTTGTCAGTACAGCAGCTTGATTCTGACTTCCCAGTCTCCTGAACTGTAATAAATTTCTACTACTGATAAGCTACCCAGTTCAGGCTATTCTAACCACAGACTAGAATATGAAAACTTGTTTTATGGGATAATGGCAGTCTATATTGGTAGTAAAATTTATTCCTACACATAACATATGAAGTACCAGAATGCTCAAATCATTCCTAAAGAGAAAAAAAATCTATTCCAGATAAAAAAAACACAGAGGTTCATCTCGTCAAATTGCACCTGCTGGATGAACCTAAAGAACCAGACACAGATACACCTAGAGTGTCACTCCATCTTCCTTCTATCACTTTTCTTAGAACTATCTTACCACTGTTTAGACAAATGGAGGAAGTGGGACGTGAGAGAATCATTTTTTTTTTTTTTTGGTAGCAGGGATCAAACTCACGACTGTTGAGCTAAATCCCAGGCCCCGAGAGAATCATATTTTTATAAAGTTTCCTAATCTCATAACTAAGATTAATTTTGATAGTAATAAAACTATTGAAATTTCTGAAAAATACTGTTTTTTTAACTTGAAACTCTGAGAAGACTAGAAATCAGTGTCTTAAATTAGACATTCATGTATGTTACATGGACCAGGCACTAAAAACAACAAGGACCATCAATGTCTATGAAAGAATATGTCATATCTGCCTCACATTAATTTTTTTTGTACTGGTCAATGAACCCAGGGATTCTTTTTTTTTTCTTTTTTATCGGTACCGGGGATCGAACTCACGACTGCCTGCTTGCAAGGCAGGCACTTATGCTGCTGAGCTAAATCCCCAGCCCCTGAACCCAGGGATTCTTGCATGCTAAGCAAGCACTCTAGCACTGAGTTACACTCCCCAGCAGCCCTTTCAATTTTATTCTGACACAATTTAAGTTTCCAGGCTGACACCTTTGATCCTCCTGACTCATCCCCTGAGTAGCTGCAATTATAAATATGCATCACCATGTTTGGCTGGTCAATGTCCTTAAAAGCATTCTAATAATTAATTAAAATTAGCATTTTAGTAATTAAAAATAGTATTCTGAATGCTAATAACATGAATGTTAGAACAAAAACCACATGTAAATATACAGTAAAAAGTTCTAAAAATAATTTTAGGGTTAACATTTTAAAAACAAATCTTCCATCACAGAACTATGAGTGGCTGAAAGAGGAGAATCAAAACCCTGGGCCCAGCCTAGGCTACTTGTTGACTTAGCAATAACCTGTCTTAAATCAACAACAAAACAAAAACAAATAAACAACAACTCTTAAAAGAAAGGGCTGGGAATGTAGCTCAATGAGTTCATCTCCCAGTACCTTCCTCAAAAAAGCACAAAAACACAAAAATTAATCTTTCCAAAGAAAGCAAAAGCTTCTGCTAAATTCTGACCACTTGAATTACATGAACCAAAGTTAAGAGAAAATTTATATGCCAATAACAGTTACAACAGTGACACAAAGTCTTATGAATAACATTAAGGACACTAGCATAGATGTACAAAACAAAGCAACACTGTAAATTCTCAGCAGACTAAAGATGTATGGTAACAAAAATGATGTCACTTTACACACTTGATCAAAGAATCAGGATAGAACAATCCACAGCAAAAGTACGGAGTAGAACTTGTGTCAGAAGTAAAAAGAACTCAAGCTTGCCAGGTCTGGTGGCACAAGCCTGTAATTCCAACTGCTCAAGAGGCTTAGGGAGAAGGAGTGCAAGTTAGAGCCCAACTTGAGCGTTAGTGAGACCTTGTCTCAAAGACAACTGAAGATGCAGCTCAGCACAGAGACTGGGTTCAATCAATCAGTTAGTTCTGCAGGGAAGAAAGAGCTCTTATAATTTTTAGGTAACACAAGCTCAATTAAAAAGCCTGTTTGACCTGGCTGCTAAGTAACACAAGAGTCACATGTTACTTTCATAGATCACAATGTTCAAATTAAAGCAGGTGACAGCCTCACTGAAGCCTGCTATTTAGACTACCTGTACAGTATTTGAAACATTTTTTAATACTTCAAAATGTCACTGACAATGATTCTAAAGTGACCAAAATGGTGAGAAACCTATAACGCAATAAAAGAAATGGCTGAATCATTTTGAGATGATCAACTTCAAGAAATACTAAAAAATGGACACAACATCTTCAAATATTGAGAGGTATTTCGGCATAGTGGTGCATAACTGTAAGCCTAGTTACTTGGAAGGTTGAAGCAGGAGGTCCCCAAATTCAAACCTGGACTGGGGAACTTAGCAAGACCCTGCCTTTAAAAAAAGTTAGTATGGAATGTGGCTCAGGGAGAGAGTATCACTGGGTCATATCCCAAGCACCACAAAACATTGATAGTTGTAATATGAAAGAGAGCACAGCCAGAGTCAAACTAGACTCAAATAGTTGAAAAATATGGAAGCAAATAACAGTTTAAGAAAACTGTCTCCAAAGTGCCATGCAGCAAGTCTCTTAAAGCAAGCAAACTTGTCTCTGGGAAGAGTCAAGCATAGGATGGATATTACACAGGGGATTCCCAATTAGGTAGGAGTTACAACAGACTATGATTTCAATAGGCCCTCTGCATTAAAATGATACTGAAGATCAAGTCTCTTGCTTTTCTGGGCATAAGGTCATATTAAACCTCATATTTGAATGATATAAACAGCTCAACGCCAGCCTAAACTACATAGCAAGACCATCTCAAACACACACACACACACAAAGTTTTGCCACTGGTAGATGTAATACCACTACTTTTGGTCAGTGAAAAAACATTTTAAAAGTTAACGTATACCAAGGGTGTTAAGACACCATAACCCAAATGACTAGATTCTTCTCTATTTTGATATGAAAAAATTAGCAAGGAATTGTGTTAACAAAATGTGTCTCCAGATTCTATTTTAGTAGTGAAAAACACTACTTAACTAACAAGAGGGCTTAAATATGAGTGAGGGGGAGGGGACTCACTAGACCTCCCTAGACGAATTACCTCACTCTAAGTTACAACATGCGTTTTT